GGCATAGCCTAGTAGGTAAGGTCTTCGTTCAGTGTTCGGGAGGTCCCATGTTCAATCCCCGGAGCAGGCAAAAATTTCCAGATCAAAATTCCAACAAAAGTGCCCAACAATGTCATGTGGATGCTATTTTTCACAGTTTTTGAAATAATCCCCGTACATAACCCATTTTGGGGGGGCTTTTTTCACGGCCCCACAATGCTAGGTGACATCGCCTACATATTTTAGGCGACATCGCCTGTTCCAAATATCGCCTCACCTAAGTTGGTGAGGCGATGTCGCCTATTTTTTTTTGGCTATCAGTTTTACCAGGGTCCATCTCTGAATACTGCAATTTAAGTTTTAAGTATGTATTCCATGTGCGTTATCCGAAAAAATGGCTCAAAACTAGGGACACCCGGATTTTTATCGAATTTTACCGCTGATATGTGGCAACGTCGCGTCGCGTTGGAGGCTCTATATAGATAATCACATGTAGGGGAGAGGCTTGTACCTCGGAATGATTGTACCTCGGAATAAATTTCATATTTCCCGCCATAATAGCGCTAGAGTGCTCGTATCATGAACTAAGGTTGCCTGAAGTGTAACGAAGCGATTCATCTTGAAAAAAATGCTCTATGCCACTATCTCCGTCAAATATCGAAAAAAAATCGAATTTTGACCTCATTTTTAAAAATTTTCAGAAAGCGATAAAGTGATGCTGCCCAACCTACTACATGCAAACAGTTTTTTGAACTCCGTTGTTGGATGTCTAACCTAGAAATCACGACTTTTTTGGGGGGGGGCGGAAATTGTACCTTGGAACGTAAACACGGTTTTTTTTTTAGTAAAACACTTATTTTTTTAATAAAAACAAAATTTTTGCTTGTAAGAGAGAGGGTGAGTCTTAAATTTCAAGCAAAGGCTGAATTCCTTCAAACAATAATTCAAATCTGCAAAGCTCTCCGCAAGGGATGAGAGATAGCGTTATAACATTGAAAAGTTTAAAAAAAAAGTTCTCTTTCATCATTTAATTTGACTTAAACCCACCAGTATCATGGAATCTACATTCTGTAAATGTCTTGAGTGTGTTCTGCTTTATTTTCAGCTTAAATGCCAATTTAGTAGGAGGAATATAGGATTTTTGTCATGCATTCCAACGTACAGCCCATGCCATTCCATAGCACACCACCATGGAACCTTGGAACGATTTTTTGGAATTTTTAAAATCGCAAAAAAACTATTATAAAATTTTCTGAACCAGAACAAAAAAAAATGTGTTACTTAGGACCCTCAGTAGTAAGCCATAGCGGTAAAAGATTTAAACTTTTCGAAAAAGGATCTTTAAAAGAAAAAGAAAAATGGAAAATCATTCCTAGGTATACTAAGCCTCTCCCTTACATTATCACTAGTAATGTGGTCATAACGTTTGAAAATTCAAGGTTTGCTGAACTTTGCTGACTGAGCTCGGTGAGGAACAGCCTCCGAATACTGAAATAGGTACTCCGTTTTCTGTGTTTTCAGGCGATAAAATATGGCAACTTCGGCTTTTTTGGGAGGCTTTGAATCCAAAATCTTCTTTAGAGGAAGGGTTTAACCACCTACGTACATTGTTTGCCAAAAGAGTTCAATTCTGATGTAAGATGAGTCGCCCTTTTTAAATCATTTTAAATAATGATGAAAAACAGGAACATTCTAAAAAAAAAAAAAAAAAAAAAAAAAAAAAAAAAAAAAAAAAAAATTAAACAATGAGCGCAAAGTTTTATATCAACGAAAATTGGCCAAAGTGACCCTCTTACACCTCCAATAAACATACCTACTTGAAGGACTTTTTGCTCCTCCGATGGGATCATTGTGAAACAGCGCGTCAAATGCCGCGACATTTAAGTGGAGGGACGATCGAGTATAGTGGTTTGACCTTAAAATGCTAAAATCGCTTTTTTCATTTTGAGACCTATGAAAGAGGAATTTCTGAGCCTCGTGGGTCCAAACTGTTATTTTCCTCTTAAAAAATAGTATCAGAAATCTCATTATCCGCATTTGCGACGTTCTAGCTCGATCACATTTACCGAAAAAAAATCTGCAAAATCTGCAAAATCGCCAAGATGAGAAATCGGTAAAACCACTTAAGTGCCTTACGAGACCACTTAACCTTTAGCTACGGCCCTGAGATTTTTTTGTGATTTTTTTCTAACCACAAGACAAGTTTTTGGCAAGTATCTCTGTTGGATTTCGCAAACTTTTTTTAACGTCAAAAATGACGCCCTAGCTAATGATCGCGGGGGGGAGATTTTCATAGTGAGTGAGTGTTCTTTCCTTGTCTAATAAATACCTTGACTATGGAACAAATTAATTTTCGTGTATAATACTTAATCTTTGATTCTATGGCTCTGGTAGTAGAGGCGGCATTTTGGGCACAGAATAGGGAGCTTCCCAAGGGAGCCACTTCCCAAGGGAATTATTTCTATACCCCAAACCGCCTGGGTGAAATTCCCAGGGGAAATTTTTAGGCGAGACAGGAGTAAACAAGCATAATATACTACCTACATTTGGGAAACAGGAAGTGATACTTTTAACATTTGTAGAGGGAGAAAATGTGGATTTTAGGCTTTCCCAATGTGCTGAACATCACATTTGAGTAATTTTCAATATATGAATCAATGTAAGATACCTACACATGTAGCAAACGTTTGCAACAACCCCATAATTCCGCAAAAGGAAAGGGGGCGGAGGCACACTCTTTAAATGACGACGTAATTTTTAGGGCAGTTTTGAGGTGAGTGACAGGAGGGGAGGGTTTCAAAATTCGAAAGAAATATAGGTGACGTAATTTATAGACGGACCCTAACCTCCGTAGTCCTTAGCAATTGGGCGACAAGATGGGCAATTGGGCATTGCTTTTGTCTGTAACCACCAAACATGTTGTGCAACTCGTGCAAGGCGCAAATATTTCAACTAACATTTGATAACCGGCAACAATGCTTCAGAGGAACAACGCTTCGCGCCATACACAGAATAACAGACGCTATCGGGTATCACTCTGTGTCCAAGTGATACTTTTTTCATCGGTTCGAGTTTTGAGTACCTACTCACGAGTTTCGTGCTCTCTCCTCATTTATTTGAAATAAGTTAGGTATCACCCTATTTCCTTCCTTGTTGTCGTTGAATCGAATCTTTATTTATTACCACTCCGGTCGGACCCGATCCTTGACGTAACAGTCCCTTTTACCGTAACGCTGTTCCCCCGGATTACCTCAAAATCCCGAGCGTTTATGACTCATGAGACTCCATGCAGTTCGAAGCGCCACGATAAACAATGATTTTATGGCCCGAACGCAAACGGTTATCAACATTTAATTGATAATGTTTACTCCAAGGTGTATAAAAAAATTAAGAAGCATGATCTGCGAGGGCGAGATTCTGTATTCAGCGGACGAACTGAATTGAATTTTGCAATTCACAACTATCGCACCTGGTTCATTCACAAAAGGACCTCGCTATCTGCCTAGGGAAGATCAAAGTGGGAGAGGAAGGGGGATCTTTCCATTTTGAAGATAAAAGTTGGGGTCCCCCCCCCCACAGGAGTCATGAAAATTTTAGGGGGCCAAAAAGTAGCTCCCGTTAACCTAAGAAAATCCCCCAAGTTTCGATAATCATTAGCTCAATTCGAAACAAAGTCAGAGAGGAAGAAAGAAGATCTGTCATGAAGATCGTTCAGTAACCGTCGCGTGCGACACTATGAAGCTTCGATTGTTTTTTACACCTCAACTTGCATTTCATCTCTTACTTTCACAGTTCCCAGGTTGGTCCATTTCTACTCGTCCCATTTCACGGAATGGTCATATGTCTTCAACTCATTTCACGCATAACCCTTTTTTTCAGTTCACGAATGGGTCAGTTGCGCTGGTCACAGAATCGTGTTGTGATGCTCGATTCTTGCAGAATATCTAAAACTCTGCCCGACCCGCTTTTCTCTACGTTCCTTATTAACCGATGTAGGCAACCTTGCAGGGGCGGGGACTGGGTTGAAAACTCCTGGCGGGAGAGCCGGCTAGGGTGCGGCTTATTTGTATGATACAAAAAAAAGTTGGAAAAGTTCAGCTACCCGATTTCCAATAGGTGCCAATACATTAAAAAAAAAATTCCTGTAAAGTTTCAGACCGATCGGAGCATTTTTAGAACCTCCGCCGGGGACGTTTTTACCAAAAAAATCGATTTTTTTACTTTTGCCTCTAAATAGCTCGCCCTGTGATCAAAAATGGCTGTTTTCTGCAAGAAAAACGCGTCGTAGCGAAAAAACGCTTAATTTCCAAATGAAAGTCTGTGAAATTTTACACAAGAATCATCTTAGATATGACGACAAATTTTGAAAAAATCACCAATAAAATTCGTCCATCGGGACAGATCTTCTCCAAGCTCAAAAAATTGTGCCTGCACTCCGATAGTACATGCAAAAATAAAAAAAAAAGTTGGCCACTCAAATCGGTTCTGGGAGTGACAAAACTACAAGTTGTATATAGGTACACTTTTGCAAGCAAATTTTCTTAATTTTTTCTTTTTTATCGAAGTAGGTCCAAAAATACCACCCATTACTTTCCTTTGTAGCGCTTTAAGTAATAAAACCTGTTTTTACTATGAAGAGGGCCCTCATAGAGAAAATATGGATACAATAATTTAAAATGCCCAGAACACTGACCAATAAAGTTTTTTACGGTTAAATAAACTGTAAGCTTTCAAAATGTTTTAAAAAAAATTGCTACTGCGGTCATAACGAAGTGTTAAAATGACAGACCTGCATATTTCCTAGGAACCATCCGGAATTTTTAAATGTTAGATAAAGGCTCTCTTTTTTAGCCACGGGCCGTCAAGAGGCATGTTGCGGGGTTGGCTCTAGCTGTTTGTGTTTCGTTTCCGCATGAATTCATAAGTATCACCATCCTTCGAAATGGGACGAAAATGAGTCTTTTCAACAATGTAGATTAGTTGTCAAAAGTCTGCGGGTCACTAATGACTACACCGTGTGATATACTTGCACGACATGGCAACAGTGTGTGGACGAGTAGGCGGGGGTCATAGGCAGTTAGACTAGCAGCAAGCCAACTTGTACCTCGATCTTGACATCTCGTTATCAATAAAGCACGTATGTCCCGTGAACCCGTGTGTTATACTTCATTACATGGCGCAGTCGGATATCTCTAGCATCAACATAGTGCGACTAGAATTAAATCGAGCTAGCAATCCCGTATTCAGTGAACTCTCGCAACCAAAGCCAATTACCTAACCTCACTCTTGATCAACAAGCCTCTCGTGCGCCCAAACCCCGTGTATTAGTGAAATTCATACTGAATGATACGGCTCTGTGATAAATCTTGTTTGTTTGTGACTCTTGTTCAGCACGTCTTGTTCGCGTGAAAATCTCTCTAGTGTGTGAACCCGAACCGACACCAACAGACTTACTCCCGCGTTCTCAGGAACCATGGCAGTGGCCTACAACATCCCGGCGAAATTATCCCTCGATGGGAATCTTAGTGAAAATTGGAAGACCTTCAAGGAAGCCTTTAGGATATACCTAATTGCATCTGGGCTAGATGAAAAGAATGATTCCAGGAAAATCGCAATATTCCTCAACTTCATTGGCGAAGAAGCCCTACGGGTTCATGAGACCATCAAGAAAGAAACAGATACAAAACTTGCAGAGGTTCTTCAGACATGGCAAGAGTACTGCAACCCTAAGAAGAACACTCTGCACTCTCGCTTCCTTTTTTATTCTCGCAACCAAAAAGAAGGGGAATCCTTCAATTCATTCCACACAGACTTGAAAACACTGCTGATGGATTGTGCCTTCGATGATTCTGATAGCATGTTGCGTGATAGACTAGTACTTGGTTCAAATGATAAAGACATTAAAACTAAGTTAATCAAGAAAGGGGATCCATCCCTGAGTGACGTGGTAACAACCCTACGAGCAGCTGAACTTGCAGGTACCCAGGTCAGAGAGATCATATCACAGTCAACAACCGATGTCTCCACAGTTGACTCAGTTAAAACCTCGTACCAACCTGAGCAAGAAACCTGCAAGAAGTGTGGCTACAAACACAGGACCCCAGACTATTGTCCAGCCAGCAACAAAACATGTGCCAAATGTCAAGGCCGAAATCATTTTGCCAAGGTATGCCGCTCGAAACAATCAAAGTATCAACCAGAAAGACCATCAAAGAAACAACCAAAAAAAGTGGACGAGGCCTGCATGAACTCTAGTGATGAAGATTCTGAAGAATACTTTTGTGGTTCAGTCACCCATGAAGCACCGCCTGAAGTCACCCGATCACAAGCATGGATGCAAACAGCAACTCTAGAAGACAGGATGCAAGTCAACTTCAAACTTGATCCGGGAGCTGACATCAACATTCTTCCAGTGCCATTGTACTCTCAACTGAAAGAACTCGCTCCGCTAACATTGCGCTGGTCCCCGTCGCGGGTACAAAGCTGGAACGGCTCCCAGACCCAAGTGAAAGGAACAGTAATCCTAAAAATTAAAATTGGCAACCGTGCCTCAGAAGAAAAATTTTATGTTGCAGGTAATAAACAATCAATTCCAATTCTGTCTAGGGACACCTGTACCAAATTTCAACTAGTTAAGCGCTTATCTGTAGATGAAATTATCTCCAATGAGTCAAAAGACCCACAATCAATCTTAAATTCCCAACTCCTAAAAGAAAAGGAAGCTATTATTTCAGAATTCAAAGATAGATTTCAGGGCGTAGGTAGAATTAATAAAGAATATTCAATCAAACTTAAGCCCAACTCACTCCCCTCCTCATATCCACCCCACAGAGTACCATTAAAAGTGCGACCCAAACTAGAAGAAGAACTGAATAGACTCCTGTCACTCGGAATAATTAGTAAAGTAGACAACCCGAATTCCTGGGTGAATCGGCTGGTAACCGTAGAAAAACCCAATGGAGACCTGAGAATATGCTTAGACCCAAAAGACCTTAATGAAGCAATTGTTAAAGAATATTGTTTAATACCCACTCTAGATGACTTTTCGTGTAAACTTAAAAGTGCAAAAATTTTTTGTGTTCTGGACCTCAAAGATTCATTCTGGCACATCCCACTAGATGAAGCCAGCTCAAATTTATGCACCGTCTCAACAATGTTTGGAACGTACAAGTTTTTAAGGCTCCCTTTTGGAGTAAATGTTGCCTCAGAAGTCTGCCAGAAATGCAACTATGAAATATTCGGAGGGATAGAAAACGTGTTAATCTGCATTGACGACATACTGATCTATGATACCTCAAAGGAAAAGGCCAAACAAACCCTGTTGAAAATCTTAAAAACAGCCCGAGAGCATGACATCAGATTCAATGTAAAAAAGTTCCAATACATGGTCGAGAGAGTGCATTACTGGGGTCAGGTATTTAGTGACGGCACTGTTCAGCCGGATGATGAATCAGTTCAAGCAATTCTTGACTACGACATGCCCTCTAGTAAAAAAGACCTGCAGCGCTTTTTAGGAATGATTAACTATTTAAGAGCATACATTCCCAACGTGGCAGAAATAACTGCTCCCCTCAGAGAACTGCTGAAAAAAGAAGTAATTTTTACATGGTTAAATGTTCACTCAGAAACAGTCAATAAACTCAAACAAATCATTATTAATCACCCAGTCCTTCAAACGTTTGATCCTGACAAACAAATAGTGATACAGGCTGACGCCAGCAAAAATGGAACAGGTTGTGTCCTCATGCAACAAGGGAAACCAGTTAGTTATGCTTCCAAAGCCCTATCTAGCACTGAAATTAGATACAGCCAAATAGAGAAGGAATTTTTATCAGTCTTGTATGCTTGTAAACGCTTTCACTCATTCATCTATGGTCAGAAAATCATTGTTCACACTGACCACAAGCCAATCGTGAAAGTAATGAAAAAAGACATCATAAGAATTCCATCCATTAGACTCCAAAGAATTAGGCTAAAATTAACCATCTATGACATGGATGTGCGATTCCTCCAAGGTTCAAAAATGCATATCGCAGACGCTCTCAGTAGAGCATGTTCAACCCGATCCCCTCATATAGACACAGACCCATCCTTAAATGAAATTGTGCACTCTTTGAACGTATCAGATGATCTTAGAATTCAACTCCAGAATGAATCTGAAAAAGACCCATCTCTGATCTCCTTGAAAATTCTAATTATAAATGGATGGCCGAGTTCAGAAACGAAAGTTCCAATCCCCTTAAAATTATTTTATCAATACAGAAATGTCCTCTCCATAGAGGAATCGCTCATATTTTTAGACAATAGACTAGTGGTCCCAGAGTCCATGCGCAAAACAATACTAGAAAAACTTCATGAGTCCCATGTTGGTATAACCAAAACAAAAGCTAGGGCAAGATACCTTTTCTACTGGCCAAAAATGAATACTGACATAGAACTGTATGTATCTAGTTGTAAGACATGCCAAAAATTTGCCAAAAACAATGTAAAAGAACCAATGATTGTTAGACAACAGCCATCTCGTCCATTTCAATATGTTGCCAGTGATCTTCTCAACTACGGAAACAAAGACTACCTAGTTCTAGTAGATATGTACTCCAAATGGATAGAGTTAGTAAAGCTCCCCTCGAAGACAGCCTCTGCAGTCATCGCAGAACTTAAAAAGATTTTCTCTGTGCATGGCATCCCTGTCAAGGTATTTGCGGACAATAATCCCCATAACTCCCTAGAATTCAAACTTTTTGCCAAATCCTGGGGATTTGAGCCTGTATATTCCTCTCCTCATTACCACCAGAGCAACGGACTAGCCGAAAAAGCTGTAGGAATCTGCAAAAATCTCCTCAAAAAATGTGATGACACAAACTCAGACATCAACCTAATGCTTCTAGAATACCGAAATACGCCCGTCTCAGGAACACCCCATTCTCCAGCTCAGCTTTTGTTCAGTCGCCTTTGCAAAACTTCTCTTCCAATAAAAGATGAGCTCCTAGAACCCACACTCACTCCAAACCATCCCACTACCCTAGCCCTCAAGGCTGAAAATGCCAAATCATATTATGATGAGCATGCAAAAGACTCAAATCACACTTTCTACCCTTCGCAATCAATACTTTTAAAGAAAATTTATCCAAGGGCACTCAGTGGAAGCCAGCCAAAATTGTCAGTGCGACAAGCAATCCCCGTTCATTCGTAATCCAAGATGTAAAAGGGAGACAAAAAATCAGAAATACGCGTTTCCTTAAACCCATCCCTCAAGAACACAAAAAGCTCCCCTCCTCTTCCCCTCCCCTCCCAAAGAGGCCATATTGGGCAAGTAGATCAAAAGAAATTGAAGGGAAGTCAATTCTGGAGAATGACTCGGAGGCTGCTTTCAATCAACCCCCACGATCACGACCTCAACGAAACCTAAAGCCCCCAAAATACTTGTCAGATTATGTCACCCCCTAAAGAGGAAGGTGTGATATACTTGCACGACATGGCAACAGTGTGTGGACGAGTAGGCGGGGGTCATAGGCAGTTAGACTAGCAGCAAGCCAACTTGTACCTCGATCTTGACATCTCGTTATCAATAAAGCACGTATGTCCCGTGAACCCGTGTGTTATACTTCATTACACACCGAGCGAGGGGTCGCTTTGGTAACCAAATTTAATCAAAGAATCACTAATAAAGAGGAACAACAGCAATACTTGTTACAAGTTGTACAACAGCACAGAGCCAAATATTCATCGGCCACCAAAGAAAACTTGGTGTAATTAGTGTAATTGCTTTTTTATTCCACAGGAGTGTCGTTTTAGGCCTTTTCCGGCCCCACCTGGATTTTGCTGAATGTTTCATATTTTCAAAGTACTAGTCCTAGGTAGACTTTATGCCAAATATTTTACCGAACGGAGCCCATGCAAAGGTGCAACAACGCCTCAAACTCAGAACCTCGGCATCGACAAATAGTTATTTATGTCGACATTTTCGACTGTTATCACTCTTTCAGCAGATATTTCCTATGTTTTTTTGCTTACTTTCCGTTTCTGGCCTTTTTAAAGGCCTCCGATAAATTTTAGGGGGCCTTATGGCCCATTGTTGCCATTTTTGGCCCATTTTTAGGGTTTTTTTTTTCAATTTTACACACGCAGAAATCAATTCAAACCAAGAATCGTGTACGTTTTTAAAAAGAACGCAAAAAATGAATAAAAAATGTTTGGTGAAATTTTTTCCTACGTCGCCAAATTTTCGAGAAAAATCGTCCCAGAGAGCCAAAAATGGCAAAAACTCGATAAATTGCCGTGCTTAAGGTTCAAGGAAGTGGAGTACAACTTTTATATTGACGTACGTAACAGCTCTTACCTATATATACAACATACCAAAAAATTATAGTTGTACCTGGATTCCCACGATGTGAAAATTGACCGGGATGTCGATTTTAGCGGCCTTTCTTTACTTGAAGGTAGCTCTTTTGAATGTTTCTCGACCTTAGTCACCCTTTATGAGTGTGTACTATGTGTATTTTTCTACGTACTTTTCATATCTGGCCATAAAAATGGCTTCCTGTGAATTTTAAAAGGCGTAACGGTCCAGTGTTGCCAATTTTCACCATTTTTAGGGGTTTTTTTAAGTTTAAATGTGTGAAACTTAATTTAATCTAAAAACAGTGTACATTTTCGGAAAGAACGTAAAAATAATACCTACTTAAAATGTGATTTGTAACTTTTCCCTACGCTGCCAAGTTTTCGAGAAAAATCGTCCTGAGGCGCCAAAAATGCCAAAAATTGGATTGATGATCACGCCGAAGGTTCCAGGAAGTGCATATTTAGTTTTATTTCACTACAAATAACGTATCGGAAATGGGAAATTGCAGTGCGTCTCACGGAACATGTAATGGCTCAGACGAACGTGACAAAACGGACCCTCAAGGTGCTGTTACCTTATCCTTCACTCCAGTTCACCTCTTTATTCCTGTAACCTCTAGATAATCCTTGGTTCTGAAGATGCTTGCTACAGGCCAAATACACCAGACAACACAAACTGCGTGGGGAAAGTGTCCCACGATCCGCATGAAAGTCATAATTCACTTTCTAGAACCTTCGACGTGATGATTTTTTATTTTTTTATTTTTTGCATGTACTATCGGAGTGCAGGCACAATTTTTTGAGCTTGAAGAAGATTTGTCCCGATGGACGAATTTTATTGGTGATTTTTTCAAAATTTGTCGTCATATCTAAGATGATTCTTGTGTAAAATTTCACTGACTTTCATTTGGAAATTAAGCGTTTTTTCGCTACGACGCGTTTTTCTTGCAGAAAACAGCCATTTTTGATCACAGGGCGTGCTATTTAGAGGCAAAAGTAAAAAAATCGATTTTTTTGGTAAAAACGTCCCTGGCGGAGGTTCTAAAAATGCTCCGATCGGTCTGAAACTTTACAGGAATTTTTTTTTATGTATTGGCACCTATTGGAAACCGGGGAGCTGAACTTTTCCAACTTTTTTTTTAGCATACAAATAAGCCGTACCCTAGGGAGCCCCCATCCCACTCAGCACAGAACCTTAATACAATATTACGAATATTGCACATCTTACACATCAACATTGCAATCGTAGATCCATAGCTTTAAGAATAATCTAAGATTGCATTCATGTTGCTGTGCTATCCCTGAGACTTGCCTGAGCATTGCAACAACATTGATAGTAAAGTTGAAGTAGTACCACAATAATCTTACATAATATTGATATGCCCCCATCAACATGCATTGTTTTCGAGCTGACACTTCTTGACAGCTCCTTGAATGCCCGCCTATCAAGCTTGCATCCTCGTTGATATTTCTTACATGCACCCACCCCCCCCCTCCTTCCCAACCCCTAAGTGCGTTACGTAATACTCGAATGGCTCCTATTAGACAGTCCAACACTGCGAAATTCTCCGCACCGCGGTCGTTTCCAGGCGGTGTCCCATCCAAGCGCTGGATAGGACCGACGTTGCTTAACCCTAAAGATCGCCCTAATGTCGCTGCCATAGAGCTCTGGAGAGTCGCGTTATGTTCGAGGAAAATTTAGCATTCATAAACGTCCCCCAAGCCGAGAATTTTGAAACGTCACGTTGACGGCGTCAAGGAGCGGAAAGCTCCTACCTTCACGTTTTAAGAAATGATATATTGATACCTATACAGGGTTATCAAAAAGTCACCTACCACCCCTGTAACTTTTTTCCTAATTGAAATATAAGTTTGAAACTTTGGCAATGTTCCTCGGTCTAACGTAGCAAATTTTTGGTCCCCCAAAAATTTTGGGGGCGGGAATTTTTTTTTGCAAAAAGCAACCTCCCTTTTTTGATACCTCATTCGAAAGATAATAAAAAAGACAATTTTTGACGCAAACCGCAGGTCAAAATGTTGATTTTTGACAAAACGGCGGCCGGTCTAAGTTCAAAATGGCGGAAATTTGGCAACTCTGTTTTTTGATCGGCGGATTGGTCTGAAACTCAAAATTGTAAGGTTTTTCGAGACGAGAAAAATGGCTCTAGCATTGGTTTCCAGAAAATTCAGTCCTTTTCAAAAAGGCGGCAATTAAAATGGCGGCTTAGAGCGGGAAATGGATATTTAGGCTGCTTATGTTGGATTTGTATGAGACTTGGTATCCGGGGGTATTTTGGCACGAGAAGAGCGAATCTTTCATGGGATTTTTGAAATTTCGAAAGACTTTAAAGTGGCGGCGAAAAAATGACGGGGAAATCTATATCTCCAGCCATAACACCGATTTTTCCGTTGCCATTTTTAAAGTACTTAGTATTTCGAAAATCTAGTGAAAGTTTCATTTTCTTCGAGCCAAAAACAATCAGAGGATCGACTCTCGTGCACATCCATCGGTAAACAGCCGTGATATGGATTTCCCGTCATTTTTTCGCCGCCATTTTAAAGTCTTTCGAAATTTCAAAAATCCCATGAAAGATTCGTTCTTCTCGTGCCAAAGTACCCCCGGGTACCAAGTCTCATACAAATCCAACGATAAGCAGCCTAAATATCCACTTCCCGCTCTAAGCCGCCTTTTTGAAAAGGACTGAATTTTCTTGAAACCAATGCCAGAGCCCTTTTTCTCGTCCCGACAAAACCTTAGGATTTTAAGTTTCAGACCAATCCGCCGATAAGAAATACAGAGATGCCAAATTTCCGCCATTTTAAACTTAGACCGGCCGCCATTTTGTCAAAAATCAACATTTTGACCTGCGGTTTGCGTCAAAAATTGTCTTTTTTTATTATCTTTCGAATGAGGTATCACAAAAGGGGGGTTGCCACTTGTAAAACAAAATTAACCCCGTCCCCTTAGGGGGCCGCCCGCCCCCAAAATTTTTGGGGGACCAAAAAGTTGCTACTTTAGACCGAGGAACATTTCTAAAGTTTCAAACTTCTATCTCAATTAGGAAAAAAGTTATAGGGGTGGTAGGTAACGTTTGGATAACCCTGTATAATGTTGATTCTTCTTGACGTCTCAATGGTATTGCAATTACCCTTACGTATTAAGCTTATAAAAACATTGGCAACTTCAGTCTTCCTGACAATATACGTAGATGTAACATTCTATAAATATTAGTAATATTGCACCAACATATGTCAACAATGTAACAGCCATCGTATCAAGAAATCGTGCTGAGTGGGCAGGGGGGGGGGGTCTGGACGGCTCTCCCCAGAGGAGGGTAAATTTTTTTACCCGGCAAATTTTCAAAATTACACCGTTAGGAAAATTAGTTGAGAATACCATCAATTTCATATCAGGTAAGATTCTCCGCCAACCAAGCACCAGCTATGAACTACTGGAGGTCCTTGATCACCCGCTCGGTTGAGGAGCCCCTCCGAATAATCCAGTGCCTGTTTGGATGAATATATGTTATTTTGATAATTACTTACAACTAATGATGCAAAGAGTTCAGTTGCGTGGCGTGCTTTACGATATATCGATTGATACGCCACTCAAACCTTTGAAAAAAGATCGATGATCAAGGTGTTAGCAGCGAACACCTTAGTAATCGATTCTTTACCATCGCTTTGAATGGCGAGATATATCGTTAATCGATTATTCACGCCACGCCACTGAAAGAGTTTATAAAAAACTGTACAGTTATGATATCAAGGGTAAATATTTAAGTCAATAGTTCCCATCATATTTTTAGTGTTCTAGTTTCCAGTGCCGAATAGTGTTGTGGGGCGGGTAAG